GACTCGGGCATTGAAGCTCCTGTATTTATTTGGCCGACTTCCTGGTTGGACCCCAGTGTGTGGTTTTGACTTACCAGCTCTTGGCTGAATAAACCCCTCACTCCAGAATTCTGGTGTTGTATGACAATTATTTCTATCGCAGATCATCTTATTTAACACTTGTGTTTTCACCTGACTTCAACCGTTATTGAACTCGTATTTCCTTACAGTACGTTAGCTTTGTAGACATCTAATAGAGTGCTGTGTGAATGGGTAAATGAGGACACAGATTGTAGTGTAAAGAGCTTTGAGTATCCTGGTTCCATAGAAAGGCGCTATACAAGTACAGTCCATTTACCATTTACCATTACTTAAATAGTGAAAATAAATAAATAAATAAATAGACTTAAATTGCTGAAATTAACAAAAACTATTATAAATTATTACATACAGTATATTATTATGTAACACAATGGAGCATGGACATGTGCTTCTTTATCAGACCTTAGAACTTTATACCCCTCACAATATTGACTTCATTCCATTTGATACAAAAACCAAAACTAGAATCGATGGAATTTATTTCTCTTCACAGTTCTAAATTTTACATTATAACAACACTTTTAAATTATGTTTCTGATCATTTGATCGTTAAAGCTTCAGTTTTGTGTGGATGGAAATGAAAATATTTTGGGAAATTACATAATAAATTTCTCCAGGACCCAGGTCTATTCTAAATGGATTGAAAACTGAAAATTAAATGTAAAAAAAAAATGACATGTGCTGTAAAGGATATTGGGTATCCTTGTGACAATAATGTGTGCAATGTTTATGACTGTTTAAGATGTTTATGAGAGTAGAAACGATTGTTCTTGTTTTTTTTTTTCAGGTTTAGTTTAGCGTTTCTGTTAAAGTCTTTTAACTAAACATGCAAATTCCACACAGAAATTACCCCGGGTCTGAACTGGGAATCAAACCCACGACCTTCTTCTTTTGAAGTATCAGTGATGCTGAGCTATTGCATTGCTGTTCCCAGTATTTATAGTTGGAAAAGCACAATGCAGTCAGTGTGTAAAATATTTAAGTAAGAATGATGTTACACAATAGTGACTGTTGTAGTAGGCTACACAGGTATTGCTGTAGCTACCATCTATCATTGCTTATGATAACAAAACCAGTTTTTGCATTAACTGGCGGCTTGAGCAGCTCGATCACAAGTTTGGGTTTAACTTGTGTTTTAGTTGGCTTCCACAACTGAAGAAAACAAAGAAACATGTTTAGAAACATTTTACCTGGAACAACAAGTAGTAAAGGCATGTCCATGCTCAGTGCCCTACGTACTGGACTTTATGCCAAARACGGAGGATCGTAAACTAACATGGCTGCCAGCTTTAAAACTCAAAACCCACTGAATGGTTTTTATTTTTATTTTGCTCTTTGCATTTTCTTCGGCTTCCCAAAGCTGGCGAAGACGAACTGAGGGGTGGTCAAGGTCCACGCCCAGCAGCCGCTGTGTGGCCACCCCAGTGGAGAGAGTCAGACTGGTGCTTGGGGAAGGCAATGCGCGTCTGTCACCGCTTCCCGATAATGGCGTAGTGAAGGGGGAAACGCTGTCTGTGCTGTAGCAGCACAGACCATCGTTGCCACCTCTCCATACTGGCATTGTGAAGGGGGAAAGGCCAMGCTGCTTGCCTCCTCTGTACGATCATGGCAGTGCATTCAAAAATAATCTGTGCTACAGTTAGGTCCATATATATTTGGACACTGACACAAATTTTGTCTTTTTACCTGTTTACTGAAACATATTCAAGTTATAGTTATATAATGTACATGKACATAAAGTCCAGACATTCAGCTTTCATTTGAGGGTATCCACATTAAAATTGGATGAAGGGTTTAGGAGTTTCAGCTCCTTAACATGTGCCACCCTGTTTTTAAAGGGACCAAAAGTAATTGGACAATTAACCCCAAGGCTATTTCATGGACAGGTGTGGGCAATCCCTTCATTATGGCATTTTCAATTTAGCAGACAAAAGGCCTGGAGTTAATTTGAGGTGTGGTGCTTGCATTTGGAATGTTTTGCTGTGAAATAAACATGCAGTCAAGGGAGCTCTCCATGCAGGTGAAACAAGCCATCCTTCAGCTGCAAAAACAGAAAAAAAGCCCATCTGAGAAATTGCTACAATATTAGGAGTGGCAAAATCTACAGTTTGGTCTATCCTGAGAAAGAAAGAAAGCATTGGTGAACTCATCAATGCAAAAAGACCTGGGCGCCCATGGAAGACAACAGTGGGATGATGGCAGAATAATCTCCATGGTGAAGAGAAACCCCTTCACAACAGCCAACCAAGTGAACAACACTCTCYAGGAGGTAGAAGTAGCAATATCCAAATCTACCATAAAGAGAAGACTGCATGAAAGTAAATACAGAGGGTTCACTGCACACTGCAAGCTACTCATAAGCATCAAGAATAAAAAGGCTAGACTGGACTTAGATTTAAAAAAAAAAACATCTAAAAAAGCAGCACAGTTCTAGAAGAACATTTTTTGGACAGATGAAACCAAGATCAACCTCTTCCAGAATGATGGAAAGAGAAAAGTATGGTGAAGGTGTGGTACAGCTCATGATCCAAAGCACCACATCATCTGTAAAACACAGCAGAGCAGTGTGATGTTTGGGCATGCATGGCTGCCAGTGACACTGGGTCACTAGTGTTTATTGATGATGTGACACAGGACAGAAGCAGCCGGATGAATTCTGAGGTATTCAGAGCCAAACTGTGTGCTCAGATCCAGACAAATGCAGCCAAACTGACTGGTTGTCATTTCATACTACAGATGGACAACGAGCCAAAACATAAAGCCAAAGCAACCCAGGAGTTTATTAAAGCAAAGAAGTGGAATATTCTGGAATGGCCAATTCAGTCACCTGATCTCAACACAACTGAGTATTTCACTTGTTAAAGACTAAACTTCAGACAGAAAGGCCCACAAACAAACAGCAACTGAAAATCGCTGCAGTGAAGGCCTGGCAGAGCATTAAAAAGGAGGAAACACAGCGTCTGGTGACGTCCATGAGTTTAAGACTTCAAGCAGTCATTGCCAACAAAGGGTTTTCAACCAAGTACTAGAAATGAACATTTTATTTACAATTATTTAATCTGTCCAATTACTTTTGAGCCTCTGAAATGAAGGGATYGTGTTTAAAAGATGCTTTAGTTCTTCACATTTCTATGAAACATTTTGTTCAACCCACTGAATTAAAGCTGAAAGTTTGAACTTCAACTGCATCTGAAAGGTTTTGTTTAAAATTTATTGTGGTAATGTCTAGAACCAAAATTAGAAAAATGTTGTTTCTGTCCAAATATATATGGACCTAACTGTAAATGAGAAATCATGATCATACCGAACAACAACACTAAACACATCATCATCACTGTCATCTGCAGATTTGCAACGAACAGTAGGAACAAAAGTTTTTTTCAGTTGAAAGTCCTTGGGTAAATTCTGCTGTGTACTGTTAGTAGTTTTCAAATGAGTCCATTGTGAAATTATTTGCACAAACTATAACTTTCTTGGGCAATATTGCCAGAACATTGCCATCAAAAATAAAAATTAATTAACCTATGCATCTTTGTTCTCCATGACTGTTGTGAAAACAGCAGAACTAACGTTGTCGTCCTGTGAAGAAGTGGGTGGAGTTCCCACTTGGGTTACCAGGTGAAGGGCTGGGCTCASCTTGGCGTTGCTAGGTTCATGTAAAAAAGTTAATTTTTCACAATTTTTCCCCATTAACATTCTGGTCTAGACATTTCACTTCTACGTACAGCTCATAATCACCTCGCACAAACGTTATGGGCGTATTATACATTTCCTGAGTCCTTGGAGTCCTGTGAGTATTGCATTTGTTGTCTATTGTTTCTGATACTCCTGGATGCCACAGCGCTAAAACAAAGTATTTATTTTAGGGGAAAACTGTAGAAAAATAAAACAGAGTCTGGCCAAAGACCCAAATCTTGGCTTGAATGAAAGCCTAGCACCGACTCAATCTGCAATCCACAACTTGTGCAATATTCAAATTTTCTGACAATTTATATTTAACATTTTCATTATCTGTAAGTCATAATCAGCAGAAAATATTTTAAATATTTATATTACACTGCATGGAATTAATCTATTTGGTACACAAAGTTTCCCTTTTTGGATTGAATAGCTAAAATAAATTCACTTTTCAATGTTATTATTTACTTAGATATAACCTATAGGCTAACAAATTGCAGTCAGTACAGTGAAATATGTTTGGATGATATAACATAAGTGGACAATTAAAAATATTAAAAACACCTTTCATAATTGGGCCTGCAGAGGATGTCTTACCTGCTGTCGTATCCGTGGGTTCCAGCGTATGTAGTATGATACCCATAGTTCAAGATGGCGCATGCTAGCAACAGGGTACAGAACTTGTCCRGCATCTGGGGTGTAGAAGGGGTTTAAATAAAAATTTGCCTTGCTGTTGACCAGAGACCACAGGGATACGGTCTTGAGCCTGACCTCCTGAGACGACACAGATAGAAAACATTTGTTTGTTGGTAAATAGGATTTAGTCTGCAGGTTTAAAGGGGCTTTAAGGGGCATGACAAGAAAAAGTTCAAAATGTTTCATAAAGAAAATAACTTGAAAACTGAAAGCTCAGATTTGTTTCACATTCAAAGAAAATAAGAAGCACAAGTAAACCGAGTATATTACATACCAAATTAACTTAGCTGAGATTTCATTTTTTTAACCTAGAATTCTAAACATGAAACTCCAGTGAGAAATAATGGTTACTAATCTACAATGGACATACAGCATGTTAGCTCCCCACCTTTTTCCAAATGTAACATATTTGGTGTCAAAATTTGTGCTGGTTTGTACAGCAAAAAATTTCATTTGTGTTGCTATCATTTTAAAGATATTAAGTTTCCAAAGGTCATCAGAGGTCATCCCCCTCCACACACACATTTACAAAATCAAAAAATCTGGTGTCAATCAATTGTGCTGTGTTGGTGTTGATTTGTGCTTCAAAGACTTTCATTTGTGCTGCTTTTTTATTGCCAAAATGACTGTGGGATAAACTCATGAAAAAGTAAGGAAAATCAGAGAAGTTAGTTACCGTGTTTATTCATGTATAATACGACCCCCCCTTTTTTGAGCTTAAAAAGCATGAAAAATTGAATCCTCAAACTACCTCCWATTTCATACAGACTTCAAGATTTTTCAGCCTTTGCAGTCTTTATATACAGTATATCAGTAAAATGATCATTGGACTGTTCATTTTATTTTAACAACATATGTACTAAAAGGCATTTTGACAACAAATATATATTAGAAAACTATGACTTTGGGCATCATATGAATTCTGGCATTTTACACATAGTCCACCAGGATGCACCAACACAAAAGTCAGAGACTTCACATGAGATTTGGGCCATCTTCAAGCAGATACAAGAAGATTACTTCCTACTCGCGAGCGCCCCCTCTGGTGGGGAAACGTTTTTCAGGAACACAAACATTTTTAGAACACCGGTAGACGGCAGCCATTAGACGGACATGTGTGTTTGTTGTTGTTCCAGCAGCGGCTCGGTCACATGTTAATGTCATTAGTTTATCATTACTGAGCTGCAGGACTACTTTTTTTCACATCATGTCGCCTGCTTGGAYCTGTTACTATTTCGTTCTGCAGCACAGAGGAGGTGAGCTTGTTTCAACTGCTTTTTATGACGCGGTCTCATTTCCGGACTCAATAATTTTGCCGATATTTCAGTTAAAATAATAAGTAAAAATATTTATCTGAGTATACTACCACGCCCCAACTTTATGAATGATTTTATGGATTAAATTTTATGTATTATACACGAATAAATATGGTAGTTAGAAATGAATGTGATGGGACATAAAAATGTAAAACCTTTAACCCCGGAAGTTTATTTTTGAATATTTTGGATACAAATATGTTTGTGTGTGTGTGTGTGTGTGTGTGTGTGTGTGTGTGTGTGTGTGTGTGTGTGT